AAACCTTCCTGGTGTGGAGGGTTACGGCACTCGATACTTAAGCGAGCTACCCCAGAAACCTTTATCACGAATATCAGTCATCGGCGGAGAAAATCTTGCTTTGTTCACGATACTACGGACTTGGAGAGCTGTTGACACACGCTCCTTGTGTCACGCGTCGTGTTTTGTTTTCTTTCAAAGATTCAAGATCACCTGAACGGAAATGTTCAACTCTATTCGCACTGTCAATTGTTCAAGTTGAACATTTGTAACGTCAGAGTTGACTGTGATGTCGACAAAAAGAGACTACGATGAGAGTTGCCACAGGAGACAATCGACGCTTTGCAGACCTCAACTCGAGAGAAACAGGTGGGTGCCAGCGGCAGCGCTGCTCATTGACGCGTTTCTATTTCACTCACTCTGTCCGTTGTTGTCGTGTCCTCAAATCTTGCAAACTCAATTTTAACCAACTTATAGTAATAGGTTGTTACCCTTTCGACTGGTACAAAAACTGACACCTTTATGCAAGCCATGTTTGCAATAACCACACAAGCAGTCAAATGCAAACAGAAATAAACAACTCTGATGATGATAGATATGCACTGTCCCTTGAAGTTGATTGGTCCACACCCGAGACAGCTTTCCTTAGAGCCTAGTCTCCATTGGTGTTGGACCAGATGACGCCACAAGGCGATACAACTCAAAGACAGCGCACTATCAGAGTATTGAGAGCTCGGGGTGAAGCATTTACAATTATGAGACATCTCCTTTATCCGTGGCAAAATATAGTGATAGGTTGTTACCCTTTCGACTGGTACAAAAACTGACACCTTTATACAAGGCATCATGTTTGCAATAACCACAACACAAACAGTCAACATGCAAACATAAAATAAACAACTCTGATACGCCTTTTGGCGTCATCTGGTCCAACACCAGTGGAGACTAGGGTCTAGAAAAGCTGTCTCGGGTTGGACCAATCAACTTCAAGGACAGTGCATATCATCAGAGTTATGTTTTTTGTTTTGCATTATGGCTGCAGGTATTGTGGTCTATGCAAACATGACTCCTTGTAGAAAAGGTGTCAGTTTTGTTGCCAGATAGAAGGGTAAAAAACCAATTATCATATTTTTACTGGCAAATGAGGTTCCAATCGTGTAGATGCTTGCCCCGAGCTCTCAATACTCTGATGGTGCATTGTCTTTGAGTTGTACGCCTTGTGGCATCATCTGGTCCAACACCAATGGAGACTAGGCTCTAAGAAAAGCTGTCTCGGGTGTGGACCAATCAACTTCAAGGACAGTGCATATCATCATCAGAGTTGTTTCTTTTACTGGTAGGAACGAAGTGAACCAGCCTACAATAGAATATATCGTCCGTCCGTCTGATGTCCGATTAGGGTAGCAACACGCCCCCTTCTGCAATAACACTTGGCAGGACCCCTACAAAAACCTTTAGACTCAGGCTTTCCTGGCTAAACAAGTGTAATAATACATTATGTTTATATTCTTTGCTTATTCGTTCCTACCAGCCCACCCCGCAGGGTCCTGTTTTGTTTGCATTTTGACTGCTTGTGTTGCGGTTATTGCAAACATGATGCCTTGTATAAAGGTGTCAGTTTTTGTACCAGTTGAAAGGGTAAAAACCTACTACTATATGTTGCCACTGCTAAAGTAGATGTCTCATAGTTTAAATGCTTCATCCCGAGCTCTCAATACTCTGATGGTGCGCTGTTTTTGAATTGTGCGCCTTGTGGCATCATCTGGTCCAACACCAATGGAGACTAGGCTCTAAGGAAAGCTGTCTCGGGTATGGACCAATCAACTTCAAGGACAGAGCATATCATTATCATCATCAGAGTTGTTTCTTTTTGTTTGCATTTTGACTGCTTGTGTTGCGGTTATTGCAAACATGATGCCTTGTATAAAGGTGTCAGATTTTGTACCAGTTGAAAGGGTAAAAACCTATCACTATATTTTGCCACTGCTAAAGGAGATGTCTCATAGTTTAACCAACTTCCCAATGTCGTATCGACTGCACACTTGGTATACGTGTGTCAGACTGATGACAATACTATATCATAAAAAAATAAAAAAATATTTTTAAACAATCTTTTTTACACGCTGTGTTTCGGCTTGGGTCTAATTGTCCACTGCTCAACTCACGCGGGCTGTGAATCACTTCCTGGAGTCGTGGAGTTCTCCCATTACCCGTACCGTACATTTCATTAAAGCGTGTTTTTTAAAAAGTATATTAAACACGTTCCTTCGGAGTGGGCAGGTAGGAACCTGGTTGGACAGCGCATTCGTGCACGACAGACAAATATGCACGACAGACAGACAAATAATCCCTGGTGGGCAGTGTGGAACCTGTTGTTGCTACCTGTATGAGTGTCGTGTATCGTGCCGTGTATAGTGTAGTGAGTAGGTTAAACGTTGAGTTTTATAAGGACACCGACGGGGTGACCAGCCCCTCCCACCCCTCCCTCCCACCCCACCACCCAGCACCCTGCCCACTCAAAGCCCAAACCCCTCCCACCCCCCCACCCCCGCCCCCCCCTCCCTCCCCTACCCCACACCGTCACCCTCCCCCACCCTCCCCTCTCCACCCAGCCCACACCCCTCCCACCCCCCACCTCAGCCCCTCCCCTCCCTCCCCGCAAAAAATATAATAAAACTATAAAACATAATAATAAATAATTCTCACGACGTTTCGGCCACAACGCAAGCAGCCGTCTTCAGGTGAAGAACAGGTCTGTCGTTCAGACGCTGTCTTTCCGACAGGTCTGTGTCACCTCAGCGAAGTGTGTGTTTTGTTGTTTCCTTGCAGCTTGAAAAGGAACAACTCGCCGTTCAACTCAAAGACGCGACTAACAGCACACAAGAATTAACGGCGGAGTACGAACGTTTTTTACTTTCCTTGAATTGTATCTTTGTCTTCTGTTTAGGTTCCTCGACTGACGTCGGTGCAACACACAATTGCGTTCGCGAAGGGAGCGCGAGGTCGCGCGTCACAATCTACCAGTTGCATCGAGTGTTAACACGATCACAAAAAGTGTTGTGTCTAAAAAAAACAAACTGGTGTAGCAATAGGGGTTTTCCACTTTTCTGGCAACAAAACTGAAATCTTTTTACGACGATTCATGTCACTGCATTAGCCACAATACTTGCGGTCAAAATGCAAACAAAAAACACGCCGTGATAATATTATGCATTGTCCTTGAAACTGATTGGTCCACCCCTGAGACAGCTTTCTTTAGAGCCTAGTCTCAATTGGTGCTAGAACAGATGACGCCAAAAGGCGTACAGCTCAAAGACATTTCGATTTAAAGCTACTTTCGTGACTGCAGGGATTCATCTTCTTGGTTCTTTCGGTAAAGTCACGTAGAAGGGAAGTAATAAAATAATAAAACATAATTAAAGGCGCTCTTCCCCTCTCCAAACCAGCTTAAATATACGCTGCCAAGCCTGGTGGTGTTTCATTCAGACGCTGTCTTTCCGACAGACCTGTTCTTCACCTGAGGACGGCTGCTTGCGTTGTGGCCCAAACGTCGTTTAGAATTATTCTATTATGTTTTATTTTAATGTTTTATTTTAATGAAATAATAAAATAAAACATAATAAAATATTATGTTTTATTTGTATTATTGTATTACTTCCCTTATTACTTAAAATAATAAAAATAAAACATAATAAAATATTATGTTTTATTTTTATTATTTCATTACTTCCCTTATTACTTAAAATAATAAAAATAAAAATATTTTATTATGTTTTATTTTTATTATTTTATTACTTCCCTTCTACGTGACTTTACCGAAAGAACCAAGAAGCTCAAAGACAAAGCCGCTATCAAAGTAACGAGGGCTCGGGGTGAGCATCTACATCATTAGACCTCCTTTGCCAGTACCAAAATATTATAATAATAATAGGGTTATTCCCTATTATCATTATTATATTTTGGTACTGGCAAATGATGGAAAAAAAACTGGTGGCGTATTTTACTTGGGATGTTGGCTATCAACAACAAGGCAACTCCTACGACTAATTGGGAATGGGACACAAGCGTAGGATTGATCGCCCTGTCGCTGGCCGCCTTTGGGGAGGGTGTATCGTGCGAAAGGCCGAAACACCCTAGGAACCAAAGGTTCACTACTGACGATGCGCTCCCCAAATGTCACCAGGCTCGCTGTTCGTGAACTCTTGGAAGTGCTTGCACAAAGGATAGTAACATCTCATCCTGTGTTCTTTGGAATCTGGCACGACTATCAAATCACCAAGTACGCACGTACGAGCGAATGGCGCGCGCCGTGCTACTTCGCAGCCGCCAGTTATGAAAGCGATACGTTTAGTCTGAAGCAACGCGTACGGTGGATATTTGTCTACGGAGAATTTCTGACCTCCGTCCTTGCAATGTGCCTGTGTCCGTAAGAATCACCGCCACCAGGGAAATGTGCGACGGTCTGCAGGTCCAATTCTCTTCGGCGCAACAAACACTAACGAAAGGTACGTTCTCAACATCTGCCGACCGTTGAACGTTAACGGTGTAACGTTGAGCGATCAAACTTTTTTGCCGTTGACTTATTCGGGCCATGTCCGCGTGCTGATGTCGACAGCTGAAGCAGATCAGGAAGAAATGAAAGAATTCCGTTTGTCAGTGAAAGCAGAAGTGAAGGTAAATGTATAATAGGATTTTAAAAATTTTGTTTTCATTTAATTATATTTCTTGAAAAGTGTATAATAGTATACACGTATACACATGCATATTTAATATTAATGCTTTAAATCCTGGTGTCATCTTCTTTTAAAGACATTTGCAGTGACTTTGAGTGATTTAAATTCAAAGTTTCAAAATGACAAGAACATCGCGTTGGCCAAAGGTAAGCCTTGTTGCAGGATGACACGATGCAGAGCTCGGTAATAACAAGGTCGTGTTCAATACATAGAGCACAGCAATCATCGACTTGTTCTTGGTTCTTTCGGTAAAGTCACGTAGAAGGGAAATAATAAAATGACAGCTGTCTTCCCAACAGACCTGTTCTTCACCTGAGGACGGCTGCTTGCGTTGTGGCCGAAACGTCGTGATAATTATTTTATTGTGTTTTATTATTATTTTATTACTTCCCTTCTACGTGACTTTACCGAAAGAACCAAGAAGATGAATCCCTGCTGCAGTCACGAAAGCTTTACATCGAAATCATCGACTTGTTTGCATCGGGTAACGCGTCGTCTCTCGAAGGGCTCGATCTCGAGGCTGGTGACAACATTGGCAGCCAAATGAGGGAGTGCGCCAGAGGTCGCAACCGGGTACCCGTTACCCGTACTCTACCCGATACCCGGCCGGGTACGGGTACGGGTCAGAGGTTGCAACCGGGTACCAGATACCCGTACCCTACCCGATACCCGGCTACCCGTACCCGGCCGGGTACCCGTTTGCGACCCTGGTGCAGCCGGGTAGGGTACGGGTACGGGTAGGCCGTGAGTCACCGGTGAGTCACCGTTTGTCACTCATTTCGGGTAGGGTACGGGTACGGGTAGGCCGTGAGTCACTGGTGAGTCACCGTTTGTCACTCATTTCGGGTAGGGTACGGGTACGGGTAGGCCGTGAGTCACTGGTGAGTCACCGTTTGTCACACATTTCGGGTAGGGTACGGGTACGGGTAGGCCGTGAGTCACCGGTGAGTCACCGTTTGTCACTCATTTCGGGTAGGGTACGGGTACGGGTAGGCCGTGAGTCACTGGTGAGTCACCGTTTGTCACTCATTTCGGGTAGGGTACGGGTACGGGTAGGCCGTGAGTCACTGGTGAGTCACCGTTTGTCACTCATTTCCCAACGTCTTGTCTCTTCTCACATTTCAAGTTCCTAGAATCAACCCACCCGCGCCTGCAACGTGGCTTCATCCCAGAGGTCGCAATCGGGTACCCGATACCCGTACCCTACCCGTACCCGGCCGGGTATGGGTAGGGTACGGGTACAGCCGGGTATGGGTAGGGTACGGGTATGGCTGGGTACAGGTACCCGTTTGCGACCCTGGTGCAGCCGGGTACGGGTACGAGTGGTAAGGAATCAAAACCCATTTGCGACCTCTGGAGTGCGCACAATAGGACGGCTACCGCAGAGATGGAGCCGTGGGAATCGGCTCACGTGTAGCAGCAGCAGTAGCAGCAGTAGCAGCAGCAGTAGCAGCAGCAGTAGTAGCAGCAGCAGCAACAGCAGCAGCAGTAGCAGCAGCAGCAGTAGCAGCAGTAGCAGCAGCAGTAGCAGCAGTAACAACAGCAGTAGCAGCAGCAGCAAGAGAGTGTTGCTTCTCAAGGCCTCGAGGGATGACGGCTTCATCTAGCAGTGGATAGAGCACTGCCGATGATTATCAACGACGGTTGTGGCTTTAAATTTCGATGTAAAGCTTTCGTGAGTGCAGGGATTCATCTTCTTGGTTCTTTCGGTAAAGTCACGTAGAAGGGAAATAATAAAATAATAAAAATAAAACATAATAAAATAATAAAAATAAAACAGAATAAAATAATTCTCACGACGTTTCGGCCACAACGCAAGCAGCCGTCCTCAGGTGGAGACCAGGTCTGTCGGGGAGACAGCGTCTGAATGAAACTCTGTCTTCTCGACAGACCTGTTCGGTAAAGTCACGTAGAATGGAAATAATAAAATAATAAAAATAAAACATAATATAATTTTCACGACGTTTCGGCCACAACGCAAGCAGCCGTCCTCAGGTGAAGACCAGGTCTGTCGGGGAGACAGCGTCTGAATTGTGGCTTGCTGGGTGAATATCGGTGCGCTGAACTCGTTTGTTTTACACGCGACGCGTGTTGCGTGTAGTGGAAGCAGCCGTGCAGGAGATGGGAAGAGCTCAGGAGGACTTCACAAACAAGTCGGCGATTATAGAAAGCCAGGTGGGTGTGAATTCGTGAGCTGATCGCTTTTGCTCATATTCAGGGGCGGTTTCTTCATTAGGGCGATTGGGCGACGCACCACCAATGTCATTCAACCACAGAGTCACGCTAGCCGTCACTGTCAGCCTCTGGATATAGTCCAATCAGCGTCATGTCACGTTCTGTGGAGTACCGCCTCTTTTGGGGCGATTTCACTCCGGCTGAGAATCGCCCCGAGTGTTCCCGTAGACTTACATTCAAAGATGTTTGTTTTCGAACGGCGGGCGCTGCAAAGCATTCTCTACGGCTTCCGGGAGGGCTCGTCCTAACGTGCTCACGTCATCATACGTCAGCACGTTTCATCCAACAATATAATTTGTCGCCACCTAGTGGAATCTTTAAGAAAATAAACTTGAGTGGTTTGTTTTAATAGTGAGTATAGAAACAAACAAGATGTATTGTAAGAGTCACTTTATTTGTCATTAATATTAAAGAAGTGAAGTTGCCTTTACCTGCTTAAGCTGTTAATTTATCCATTGCATGGGTGGAGCTTATCCTTATCAATCATCCAGACATTTGCCCCCCCTGAGAGATTTTGCAGGAGCCGCCACTACTTACATTTTAAATGCTTAAAAAGTGAAATTTTAAATGCTTAAAATGTCACTTATTTCCACTTTAAAACGTATTCAGTGCCCTAAATGCATTTGTTCAACACAATATATGGGATTCATCTTCTGGGTTCTTTCGGTAAAGTCACGTAGAAGGGAAGTAATAAAAAAATAGTCAGACGCTGTCGCCTCGACAGACCTGGTTTTCACCTGAGGACGGCTACTTGCGTTGTGGCCGAAACGTCGTGAGAATAATTTTATTTTTTATTTGTATTATTTTATTACTTCCCTTCTACGTGACTTTACCGAAAGAAACAAGAAGATGAATCCCTGCAGTCACGAAAGAAGCTTTAAATCGAAATATATGGGATGTACACATTTTCACCTCTTTATCTTGATTTTTCAAAGTTATTTTCATTCCGGTAAACAAAACTTATTTGAATGAAATGATGACTTGCAAACCAGAAAACTTGCCTTGCCCGGCAGTAGGTCATTTCATAGATTCGTGTATCTTGATTTTTGAAAGTTATTTTCATTCCGGTAAACAAAACTTATTTGAATTCAATGATGACTTGCAAACCAGAAAACTTGCCTTGCCCGGCAGTAGGTCATTTCATAGATTCGTGTATCTTGATTTTTGAAAGTTATTTTCATTCCGGTAAACAAAACTTACTTGAATTCAATGATGACTTGCAAACCAGAAAACTTGCCTTGCCCGGCAGTAGGTCATTTCATAGATTCGTGTATACGGTCGTATTGTTGAGTAGTTATCACATCAGAGCTGCCTTTCATTTTTAGGTCAAAGAAAAATCTGAGCTTTTGGAGTCAAAAAATGAAGAACTCAAAACGACCTCTCAAAAGCTGCAAGATTCCATTGAAAACTGTGTTGGACTCGAAGAAATAACGGGTGAGAGTGAGAGTCCATTCAAGTTGTGTGCTTTTGCCAACAGCCTGGGTACGTGTGTGTGCTAGGAAAATATCTTGCACATCTGACCGTTAAAGGTGATCCCAATTTGAGTTGTTTTTAAATCCTTTACATTAAGTTCACTTGCTTGCGTGCTTGCTTGCTTGCTTACGACCGTGCAAATCTTTCGGTCGTTTTTTAACCCACTTCCCGTGATCCAATCGAGCTGACATTTTGCACACAGACTCGTTGTGCGAGACAATTAATGTTCGTGAAAATTTTTTTCCAAAATTTTACACTGTTTAGGGAATTTTTTTTTAAATATGTAATTACCAATTGCTTAATGCTGGCACACAATCATCTGACCCATAGGTGGCAGCCATCTCAAGCCAGAGGACGAGAGGACTCGAGCCGCCACGCATATAAAGGATTTAGAGTGAAAAACTTTGTTTTTACGGGTTAATTTTTGTGTCTTTCGCAGGCGACTTTCAATCACGACTTGAACAAACACAGGAAGGAATCAAAACCCTCAAGTTGGAAATAAATCGACGTCAGGATGCTGAAAGCGGACTGCGGGTGACACGTCCATTCATATTGACGCGGCAAAACCTTGGATTGCGAGTAATTTTGTCTTCTTGGTTCTTTCGGTAAAGTCACCACGTAGAATGGAAATAATAAAATAATACAAATAAAACATAATAAAATAATAAAAATTAAACTTTTTTAGGTTTCGATTTAAAGCTTCTTTCGTGACTGCAGGGATTCATCTTCTTGGTTCTTTCGGTAAAGTCACGTAGAATGGAAATAATAAAATAAAAAAATAAAACATAATAAAATAATTCTCACGACGTTTGGGCCACAACGCAGGCAGCCGTCCTCAGGTGAAGAACAGGTCTGTCGGGAAGACAGCGTCTGAATGAATTTCAGACGCTGTCTTCTCGAATGAATTTCAGACGCTGTCTTCTCGAATGAATTTCAGACGCTGTCTTCTCGAATGAATGTCAGACGCTGTCTTCTCGAATGAATTTCAGACGCTGTCTTCTCGAATGAATGTCAGACGCTGTCTTCTCGAATGAATTTCAGACACTGTCTTCTCGAATGAATGTCAGACGCTGTCTTCTCGAATGAATTTCAGACGCTGTCTTCTCGAATGAATGTCAGACGCTGTCTTCTGGAATGAATGTCAGACGCTGTCTTCTCGAATGAATTTCAGACGCTGTCTTCTCGAATGAATTTCAGACGCTGTCTTCTCGAATGAATGTCAGACGCTGTCTTCTCGAATGAATTTCAGACGCTGTCTTCTCGAATGAATGTCAGACGCTGTCTTCTCGAATGAATGTCAGACGCTGTCTTCTCGAATGAATTTCAGACGCTGTCTTCTCGAATGAATTTCAGACGCTGTCTTCTCGAATGAATTTCAGACGCTGTCTTCTCGAATGAATGTCAGACGCTGTCTTCTCGAATGAATTTCAGACGCTGTCTTCTCGAATGAATTTCAGACGCTGTCTTCTCGAATGAATTTCAAGACGCTCGTCTTCTCGAATGAATTTCAGACGCTGTCTTCTCGAATGAATTTCAGACGCTGTCTTCTCGAATGAATTTCAGACGCTGTCTTCTCGAATGAATTTCAGACGCTGTCTTCTCGAATGAATTTCAGACGCTGTCTTCTCGAATGAATTTCAGACGCTGTCTTCTCGAATGAATTTCAGACGCTGTCTTCTCGAATGAATTTCAGACGCTGTCTTCTCGAATGAATTTCAGACGCTGTCTTCTCGAATGAATTTCAGACGCTGTCTTCTCGAATGAATTTCAGACGCTGTCTTCTCGAATGAATTTCAGACGCTGTCTTCTCGAATGAATTTCAGACGCTGTCTTCTCGAATGAATTTCAGACGCTGTCTTCTCGAATGAATTCAGACGCTGTCTTCTCGAATGAATTTCAGACGCTGTCTTCCTCGAATGAATTTCAGACGCTGTCTTCTCGAATGAATTTCAGACGCTGTCTTCTCGAATGAATTTCAGACGCTGTCTTCTCGAATGAATTTCAGACGCTGTCTTCTCGAATGAATTTCAGACGCTGTCTTCTCGAATGAATTTCAGACGCTGTCTTCTCGAATGAATTTCAGACGCTGTCTTCTCGAATGAATTTCAGACGCTGTCTTCTCGAATGATTCACAAGCTGTCGATGAATTCAGACGCTGTCTTCTCGAATGAATTTCAGACGCTGTCTTCTCGAATGAATTTCAGACGCTGTCTTCTCGAATGAATTTCAGACGCTGTCTTCTCGAATGAATTTCACACGCTGTCTTCTCGAATGAATTTCAGACGCTGTCTTCTCGAATGAATTTCAGACGCTGTCTTCCCGACAGAACTGTTCTCCACCTGAGGACGGCTGCTTGCGTTGTGGCCGAAACGTCGTGAGAATGAGTTTATTAGATTTTTATTATTTTACTATTTCCATTCTACGCGACTTTACCGAAAGAACCAAGAAGATGAATCCCTGCTGCAGTCACGAAAGAAGCTTTAAATCTAAAAAAATATTAATTTGATAAACGAGCGAGGAGGGGTCTTGCAATACGAGTAGTACGCGTAGTGTACGCTTTGTCTGCCGAGCGTCACGTGATCGCAGCTGATGTACGAGTGCTTTGGATTGCAAACACGTCTACGGGACGAATTATGCTCGCAATCCAACGTTTGACTGTATAGTTAATATTGTCTGCATATTTATTTCTGTATAGTTTTTTACGGGATCATATTCTTAGGTGTTTTCGGTAAAGTCACCGTGTAGGTAAAACATCAAAATTAATAAAATAATAAAATAAAAATCACGACGTTTCGGAGGCAACGGAGACTTGTGCTGGAGACTCGTGTTGCCTCCGAAACGTCGTGATCTTTATTTTATTATTTTATTAATTTTGATGTTTTACCTACACGGTGACTTTACCGAAAACACCTAAGAATATGATTCCTTGCAGTCACGAAAGCTTCAAGTCTAGAATTTTTTACGGGATGCTTTTCTCTTGCCTTCTTTTGGCAAATCTCAGCTTCGCGCTGTATCTGAAAAATGTAGCGGGTCGCCCGCCTGCCCCGTTGATTTAATCATCGTAGAACTTTCAGAAACACTGATGACCAAACGGATGTTCTTGCCTTCCTGCTGTAGGCCGAGATACAAAACACGGAGAGAAGTTATGCGGAGAAGGAGCGAGAGCACGCCGCGCGCGCGACAGAGCTGCGGCGATCGTGTGACGGGCTGCACCACAAACTTTTGGACCTGAAAGTTATTTTTCTCAACCGAAAGAAGGAAAATCACGAGTTGACACAAGCAGCCTGCCAGAGGCAAGTGGTGAACTTTGACAGCGCAGCAAGTAGGCTGCTGAGATGCTGTTGCCACATCTGCATTCCCTAGAACATCTGACTGTGTTTGTATCTGCAAAGCAAAACAAATGCGGTCTCTTTTGTTCACCGCTGCACGTTTCTGCATCGCTTAATCTGGCCTCTGACGCACGTCACGAACTCGACGTTCGCGTGACGATTATCTGAACCGATCCTGGGTCTCCCCTAGGTCGACTCGGCCTCAAATGAGTACCTGGTGCGGTGTGTAGTAAACATCGCCACTGGGGAGACAAAGGCGGTCGGGCGTGGTGCTGGCCACCCACCCCCTCGTGTGCCGTGCCGGTAGCCTTCATAGGCGCTACTCGCTAACAGCACTTGCCCCTACAGTCTGTTGAGGCTACACGGGTGATTTTCGTGTTGCACTGAGAGTGTGCTGCATTGCCGATACATTTTTTGAAACAATTAAATGAGGCTGACGTCTTGTTACGTTTCTTTCAGGTGCAGTGCAGAAGCAGAGATTCGTCGCAGGTTTGAAGCGAATATTCGTGAAATAAACACAGAAATCGGTAGGCAACGTTTTGCAAGCGTGAATGTCCATTGCGAGTTTATTATCGCATGTGCGGCATTATTGAATTTTCGTTTGTCCTTCTGATTTTCAGACTTGCTTGCCGTGTCATCGCACTCGCAGAACCTTGTTTTTGGACCACTCATTGACATGCAAATGTTTTCTCTAACCCCCCCCTCCCTCTCTCTGCCTCCTCCCCCCTCTGTCTATTTAAGGCCACCCCACAGAGATGATCACCCCTCTCTGGTTCCTGTGTTGCTCCCTCTATGTATCTTGGTGATATCTGTCTGCTAATATGTCTGTCTATAGTTTTCTGGTTAGATTCTATGTCGCTATTTCATTATACCTGATGATGATGCTTGTGTTGCAATCGAAACGTCGTAATATGCTATTATTTAATTTATTATTTTATCTTTAGACGTGACTTAACCGAAAGAACCAAATAATCATTTACTGCAGTCACGAAAGTTCTAAAATTAAGATTTCTCTCATCGGGTGTACATTATTAACGTCTGTTTGATATATTTTCATCGCGTCCAACATGTATTGATATTCCTTTATGAATACGATCAATCGATTATTGTTCCTAGATAATGTGACGATTGAAAGTGACGGTAACCATGCGGAGCACAAGGTCGCGCTGGTGAGTTACATTTTCACGTCGCTTTCACAACATCAGCCACGAGGGTGGACAATGTTCAACGCTACAATTGGAAGTCCATACGTTTAATTTGGAGTATGTTCTTAGGTTTTTTCGGTAAAGTCACGTAGGTAAAACATCCCCAGCCCCCCCCTCCCTCCCGATACGTTCCATTCATTGGCTACCACATTTTGATGAGCTCCCCCCCCCCCCTCTCCTCCCCCCCTTCAACTTGCTTATAAGGGATTACATCTTGAATCATTGCTTCACTTGATGCAGCTAATCCGGCTGTGACGGTCCCACCTTATGACGGAGACTTGTGTTGCCTCCGAAACGTCGTGATTTTTTGTTTTATTTTATTTTATTAATTTTGATGTTTTACCTACACGGTGACTTTACCGAAAAAACCTAAGAATATGAATCATTGCAGTCAAGAAAGCTTCAAGTCTAGAATGTAATTTGGAGCTTTCGTGACTTGCAGGAATTACTCTTTGGTTCTTTCGGAAAAGTCACGTTTAAAGATAGAATAATAAATTAAGTAATAGCATACGACGACGTTTCTGTTGCAACACAAGCAATCATCGTCAGGTATAAATGATCAAAATTAATTAAAATAAAATAAAATAAAGATCACGACGTTTCGAAACGTCGTGATCTTTATTTTATTTTTATTAATTTTGATGTTTTACCTACACGGTGACTTTACCGAAAAAACCTAAGAATATGAATCATTGCAGTCACGAAAGCTTCAAATCTAGAATTATGGTATAAATGAAATAGCAACAAAAATCTAACCAGAAAACTGTAGACAGACATATAAGCAGACAGATATCACCAAGATACACAGAGAGAGAGCAACACAGAGACACACACAGAGAGAGACACACAACATAGACACACAGACAGACATATAAGCAGACAGATATCACCAAGATCCACAGAGAGAGAGAAAACACATCGGCACAAAGGTTATTTAAATTTAGTGTGTCTCTCTCCCTTTCTCCTAATGTTCAAGCTTGCGTACCGTACCACACGTCACCCTACTCATTGACTTGCTAATTTTTCTCTGCCCCCTCCCTCTCTCCGCCCCCGTCCCCCCCCCTCTCTCTATTTAAGGCCTCGTCACAGAGACGATCTCTCTCTCTGTGTGCCGATAATAAAAATAAGGAATCAAAACCCGTTTGCGACCTCTGCCGCACAGTCCCTGGGTTGCGTCGCAAAGTTTGCTTGGCAAGGCGTTTGACGTTTAGCTCCCGGCAAGCTCCGGGTAGCACGGGGGGGGGGGAGAAACGGAACGTTCAGGCGACATCCGAGAGCGCTCCGGCCATCGTGTGCAATAAATACGTTGGGGGTATCGTAGGAGGGGTGTTGATCTCGTGCCGTGTCTTGTGTGAAGGAATCTTTGGACAGGTTCGAACAAGAGAGAGCTTCATTCCAAGAAACCACCCGTCAGCTGGAACAGCAGATGGCCGCCACGAGAACGCTGATGAACGAAAGCGAGGTATTTAAAACGTTTCTTAAATCCGTAATAAAAGACTCCGTCAGGCACTGCTGGTCTCCGCACCCCCCCACTGGTCTCCTCCTAGGACCAGCGTCGGCTCTCACGCTCCCCGCACACGCGCTCCCTCCTCAGCTCCTCCCCTCGCCCTCACACCCCGCTGGTCCTGACAAGGGACCAGCGTCTCCCCTCGCGTGTCCCGCACGCTCCCCTCGCGTGTCCCGCACGCTCCCCTCGCGTGACCCGCACGCTCCCCTCGCGTGTCCCGCACGCTCCCCTCGCGTGTCCCGCATGCTCCCCTCGCGTGACCCGCACGCTCCCCTCGCGTGTCCCGCACGCTCCCCTCGCGTGACCCGCACGCTCCCCTCGCGTGTCCCCGCACGCTCCCCTCGCGTGTCCCGCACGCTCCCCTCGCGTGTCCCGCACGCTCCCCTCGCGTGTCCCGCACGCTCCCCTCGCGTGTCCCGCACGCTCCCCTCGCGTGTCCCGCACGCTCCCCTCGCGTGCCTTGCACGCTCCCCTCGCGTTCCCCGCACGCTCCCCTCGCGTGTCCCGCACGCTCCCCTCGCGTGTCCCGCACGCTCCCCTCGCGTGTCCCGCACGCTCCCCTCGCGTGTCCCGCACGCTCCCCTCGCGTGACCCGCACGCTCCCCTCGCGTGTCCCCGCACGCTCCTCCGTCAGCTCCTTCTCCCGCTCCGCACACCGCTGGCCGACAGTGTGCCGCCGTAGCCCCGTCGGCCACGTGACTGATGGCGGCGGCGGCGGCCGCCCCATGTGGTCCCGCCTCTTCACTCCATCGACTGGCTCCGATCTCTCCCGGGCTCCCCTCTATAACCTCTCCCCCACGTGACCCTGACTCCTCCCTTCCTGATCGTCACATCCTGCCCCGCTGGCTCCACCCCCATTCACCTCGCTTCCTCCCATTGGAGCTGCCGAGGTGAACAGCGGCCCCTCCCACACGCTCCCCGCAGACCGGGCTCCCCTCTATAACCTCTCCCCCACGTGACCCTGACTTGTCTCTTCCTGATCGTCACATCCTGCCCCGCTGGCTCCACCCCCATTCACCTCGCTTCCTCCCATTGGAGCTGCCGAGGTGAACAGCGGCCCCTCCCACACGCTCCCCGCAGACCGGACTCCCCTCTATAACCTCTCTCCCACGTGACCCTGACTCGTCCCTTCCTGATCGTCACATCCTGCCCCGCTGGCTCCACCCCCATTCACCTCGCTTCCTCCCATTGGAGCTGCCGAGGTGAACAGCGGCCCCACCCACACGCTCCCCGCAGACCGGGCTCCCCTCTATAACCTCTCTCCCACGTGACCCTGACTCCTCCCTTCCTGATCGTCACATCCTGCCCCGCTGGCTCCACCCCCATTCACCTCGCTTCCTCCCATTGGAGCTGCCGAGGTGAACAGCGGCCCCTCCCACACGCTCCCCGCAGACCGGGCTCCCCTCTATAACCTCTCTCCCACGTGACCCTGACTTGTCTCTTCCTGATCGTCACATCCTGCCCCGCTGGCTCCACCCCCATTCACCTCGCTTCCTCCCATTGGAGCTGCCGAGGTGAATGGCGGCTCCTCCCACACGCTCCCCGCAGACCGGGCTCCCCTCTATAACCTCTCTCCCACGTGACCCTGACTCCTCCCTTCCTGATCGTCACATCCTGCCCCGCTGGCTCCACCCCCATTCACCTCGCTTCCTCCCATTGGAGCTGCCGAGGTGAACAGCGGCCCCTCCCACACGCTCCCCGCAGACCGGGCTCCCCTCTATAACCTCTCTCCCACGTGACCCTGACTTGTCTCTTCCTGATCGTCACATCCTGCCCCGCTGGCTCCACCCCCATTCACCTCGCTTCCTCCCATTGGAGCTGCCGAGGTGAACAGTGGCCCCTCCCACACGCTCCCCGCAGACCGGGCTCCGCCCCCAATACGCCGGGTCGTGTGATCGGGCCGGAGTCCAGCAGCGACCCCACTTACGCTCGCATTACAAGTCTATCGTAAAATTAACCTGTGCTACATTTCCCCGTTAAGTTGTTGGCGAACGCGCGTTAGAATTGTGCTCTTTTGTGCGCAGAAACGTGCCGTTCGCGTCAATCCTGGCGTGACGTCTTGGGTGTCGTTCGATTTCAGAGTGAACTCAACGGAATGAAAGCAAAAGATTGTGCCTTGAAGAATGACCTTAAAGACGCCTTGAAGGCAGTGAAGGTTCTGGAATCAGAACTGTGTCAACAGAGGTGAATGGTGGAGCTTCATTTCTAAGATCATTCGGGCTTTTTGGCACCCCTCTATCATTCGCCCTCTCTCCATTTGTATTACTGCCACTACTCGCTGTTATTATTACACGCTGTTATTATTACACGCTGTTATTATTACACGCTGTTATTATTACTCGCTGTTATTATTACACGCTGTTACTATTACACACTGTTATTATTACTCGCTGTTATTATTACACGCTGTTACTATTACACGCTGTTATTTAACTCACTCCGTCTCTTGTCGTATCCTCAAAAAATCTTGCAGCTCAATTTTGACCAACTTCCCAATGTGCCATCGACTGCGAACTTGGTATACTTGTGTCATACTGATGACAACACGATATTCTATCATTAAAAATACAATTATTTTTTTACATTTTTAAACATGTTACACGCTGTTATTTAACTCACTCTGTCTGTTGTCGTATCTTCAAATCTTGTAACTCAATTTTGACCAACTTCCCAATGTGCTATCGACTGCGAACTTGGTATACTGATGCTCTTGGATTTTTCGGTAAAGTCACGTAGGTAAAACATTTAATTAAAAATTCATAAAAATAAAATAATAAGAATAATTTCATTTTTCATCTACTTGACTTTACCGAAAAAACTAAGAGTATGAATCCTTGCAGTCACGAAAGCTTCAAATCTAGAATGGTATACTTGTCATACTCATGACAAGATTATAATCTATCATTAAAAATCATTTTTTTATATATTTTTAAACATGTTACACGCTGTTATTTAACTCACTCCGTCTGTTGTCGTATCCTCAAAAAATCTTGTAACTCTATTTTGACCAACTTCCCAATTTGCTATCGACTGCGAACTTGGTATATTTGTGTCATACTGATGACAACACAATTTTCTATCATTAAAAATACAATTATTTTTTTATATTTTTAAACATTTTACACGCTTTAACTTAACTCACTCTGTCTGTTGTCGTATCCTCAAATCTTGTAACTCTATTTCAACCCTCTTCCCAATGTCCTATCTACTGCAAACTCGGTATAGGTGTGTCACGCTGATGACAACACTATATTCTATCTTTAGAAATAAATAAAATCTTTTTAAACAATCTTTTTACGGGTCTAATTGTCCACGCTCAACTCACGTTGCCTGTAAATCACCGCGCTGCCTTACGTCACGGCAAGCTGCGGGGCCACTTCCTGGAGTCGTGGAGTTCTGCCATCACCAGTACGGGACATTTCATGAAAGCGTGTCTTTTTTTAAAAGTATTTTTAAATATTACTTATTTTTGTTACCAAATAAATATCGATGTGTATTTGTGTTAGCTTCATTGACACTGGGCCAAGGTTTATGGTGCATCTTACATTCCACAGCATCTTATAATCCAGAGAATTCGCTGCACTCTCTTGGATTTACACAACTGTTGCTTTTTTAAAA